TATATATATATATATATTGAAGTATAACTAGATTTACAGAACGGGCCATGGGAGGATACTACTAAGTTACTAAGTGTTCAGACCCCCCCAACAAGTAAAATCTACGCGACCATATAACTACTTGGGATTCCCCCATATACTTGTAATACCAAGCCCGGGCCCAAACACAAACCCCACGCCTTTGATCGAAAACCCTGTAATGTATTGCAGAGAGCCTTCAAAGCCCTACGAGAATCCAATGCCTGCATCTGCAAGCCTTTGCAAAACCCGAAAACGTGATAAACGCCAGTTCTAAAGCTTGAACCCTAAACCCTAAACCGAAACTTAAACTGCTGTCCCGCGGCCGCAAACTCCAAACCCCCAGACCTGGGAGCAGAGCCCAATTTCTACCAAGCACTGAAAACTGCATCCCAACCCCCTCACACAAAGATCCCCAACCCTAAATCCCGGACCCTGAACCCCTAAAGACCCTAAGCCGCAAACTCTAGATCCTCAGCCCTAGTCCACTGAACCATCAACTCTACACCACTAAGAACCCCCCAACCCGGCACCCCCAAAACCAACTCAACCCTCACAACAAAAAACTGGTTCCCTCTTGGGGCTATATTAAAAATATCAGTTTTAATCCTTATGGGGTTCTAGCAAAACAGAAATGTAAAATTGTATCCCTAAACCCTAAACCCTAAACCCTAAACCCCTAAACCTATCCAACAAGGACTGAGAAAAGTTATCCTGCCTTAGTTTTCGGGTCCTCGGCGCGGATGCAGCGCTCGAACCTGGAAGGTGGTTTAGGGTTTAGGGCTTAGGGCTTAGGGTTTAGGGCTTAGGGTTTAGGGTTTAGGGTTTAGGGTTTAGGGTTTGGGGTTTGGGGTTTGGGGGACTTTGACAGGCTCAGGTCTGGAAGAGTGGCTATAAGGCTTTTAGACTTGAGACCCGTTGCAATGCGGGTTAACAGAGGGGCCTTAATAGATAGAATAGGGGTTTGGGGCCCATTATACTATAACTACAACAGGGAGCCCCCAAAATGTTATAGGTCATTATGTAGACTCCTACATTAATGGGTTCTTTTGTAAGGTGTGTGAGGGCGGTGTTCCTAAACCCTAAACCCTGGACCTTGAACCCTAAACCCTAAACCCTGAACCCTAAACCCTAGACCCGTTTCGAGGGTTTTGCAGAGGCTTCGAAAGGGCTTCCACGGGGTTTTACAAGCAGAAGCGCCTTGGGGTCTGCATGCTTTGATGGATGAGGGTTTAAGGGGTTTTAGGGTTTAGTTTAGGGGGCTTCAGGGTTTAGGGTTTAGGGTTTAGGTCTTCTGCACCACACTGTTAATGCCTCAACTTATTAAACAAGGACGGTGGTCCTGAACATTAGCCCAAAGCCCATAAACCCTAAACCCGAACCCCTAAATCCTAAAATCTAAACCCAAAACCCTTAAACCCAAAACCCTTAAACCCTAAACCCCTAAGCCCCTGCACTCCCTTCGGCTCGATACATGAGGCGTGGGAAGGTGAATCGTCTAGGGTTTAGGCTTTAAGGTTTACTGTCAGACAAGAAAGTAGCAAAACAGAGAATGCCGGGTGAAGGAAAACTTGGGGTATAGAGTGAAGGGGATTAGGGTTCTTCGTTTAGGGCTTTAGGGGTTTAGGGTTTAGTCATAATCGAGCTTCTTGAAGCATCTTGAGAAGAGCCTGCGGACTGCACTCTTCCAGACTCAAGTCCTTCTCCCGCGCCACTCGGGGTGCGGTGGCGTTCAGCAGGACCTGACCAGAGCCGTCGTCAGCACAGGCCAGGGTCTTTGCGAAGTCCATGGCCTCTTCTTGGAGAATGCGAAACCATTTCGCGCCTTTGTAAGGCCCTCTGCAGTAAGAAAGTATGGCTTGTGCCATTTTTCATCTTGGACACCATGCCCGCCAGGTTCGCGGCATTTTGAAACTCCCTGTGCAGTTGATGCCACACATCGTAGAGAAACAGGCCGCGACAGCCAAGTTCGTAAAGAAGAAACCATCGGGCTGATTCTTGCTCGGACCCGTGGTCCGATGTCACAGCAAGAATCGGTTTCTGCGCTTTTAGGGTTTAGTTTAGGGAGCTTTAGGGTTTAGGAATTTTTTAGGGTTTAGGGTTTAGTTTAAGGGGTTTTAGGGTTTAGGGCTTCAGGGTTTAAGGGGTTTAGGGTTTAGTTTAGGGGGTTTTAGGGTTTAGGGTTTAGGATTTGGATTTCTATAGATCTTACGGGCTGCGGCGTGTATATTGGGGCTTCTCAGGCTAGCTTGGGGTTCACCGGGTTCAGGCTAGGGCTCGAATTTAGGGTCTGGGGTTTAGGGTTTAGGGTCTATGGTTTAGGGTTTAGGGCTCTGTAGCCGGAAACCCAAACCCTGGACAGAAACTTGCTTTACAACCTCGTCTGTTTCCCGACAAAAAAACTTCTCCGCTCGGGAGGTGCAGGCGATCAGGATGTTGCCTTCGAAAGCGTGTCACATTGGATTTTCTCAAAGTTGGCCGCTAACCCTTCTGCTACGCATCCAAGGGTTCCATGCCTGAGCCCTTTGCCCAGAAGCAAGATGGAACGCTCAGCAGCAAGGAGCCCCAAAAAGAAGAAACGAAGAGTCAGGCCTGAATATGTACGAAGCCCACACACTGTACCTGCTAAGAACCCTAAACCCTAAACCCTAAACCCTAAACCCTATCCCCCTATATCTGGTGCCCGTTTCAAGGCCCCCTAGACCAAGGCCCGGGCGCTTTCTTGACGACGTGGTAGCCACCACCTGCCACCGGCCAAAGCTTATTTCGGGCAGTGCAGAAACATTCTCCGGTGGCTGTCAGTAACTTAGCTCTCTGAGGATGATGTGGGTAGTTGTCAAAATTATGGTCCCTTTTGGGGTACCCTAAATAATAGGTGCCGTATTATAATAAGGACCCAAAAAGGGACCATAATTTTGACAACCACCCATGTAGATTCCATAGTCTGTCATCATGTGGATGGCAGCGATGGGAATGACGACGATGGTGATGATAATGATGATGACGATACCGAAGACGATGATTGTAAACAACACAACTGAGAATGATACTGTCACTATTGGAAACTTGGCGATGAACACTACCCGAAACCTGCAGACACCGTGCAGACCTGGCAGATTCCCGCAGACCAAACTCGCACTCCGGCTCCAAAGCACGCAGCGCGTTCGAGCCCAGTGTCTTGAACCCTTGAACCCCTACCCCACACCCTACATCCTAAACGCCGTCATCCATGCTCAACCAAATCACCAAGGTGCAAGTGACTGCACATAGGCTTCCGTTGGGTTCACGGTTCAGTGGTCTGGCAGCGACAAGGGGCAACTAGGAGCAGTTATTTGCAGAAGCACCGGGCCTGCACAAAGTCCACTGCAGCAAAGCAGGTATGGCAAAGGAGCCTTGCTATCGATCGAGGCATTGCCGTGAAACGATGTTGAAGCCGCGACTTGTACTGTGCGGAGCGGGGCCGAGTCGGCTCCCCTTGTAGCATGCCGCATCGGTTTAGGGTTTAGGGCTTAGGGTTGGATAGTAAACAATGCGCAGACATCGCATGTCGTCGATGCAGTGGCGCAGCACTCTTCGCAGGAGCACCAGTGGTGGCGAGCCTAGGTGCACCTGCAATGAGCACATTGCCGTGTCAGGAACTACCCTAGTCTCTGCAAAGGAGACATTGAAGGCGGTGGCATCGGCCGCTTCAATGATGTCTGCAAGGAGCTTGCCACAAAAGATTAAGGGCAATGGAGGCGAACTGACTGGACGTGGCTGAATGCCAAACCCGCCGCGGGCCCCCGACACGTTGTGGAGACTTCAGCTGAGGTTCAACCGAGTAGCACAAGTCTAACTCACGAAGGGTGGACGGTGGAACCGGCCTCGCGGCAAGCACCACTCAGTGCCAGGGGCAGCTTGGTTCGGCGAAGTGACCGGCGAGGTTTATGCTGCGGCGGGCTTCGTCGCACCCTGTGCGCCTCTCCCGTATATACAGTGCCGCCTGGCAGGGGGAGCTGCCAGGCACTGCAGGAGCACTGAACCGATTCTGGGCTGCGCGGCCGTCCTGCAAGGCAGGGAACGCAGGTACTCGTGAGTGCCTCACCCGGCTCCAGGCGGCGATATGGCAGGACGGGCACAAATGGCAACGTGCCAGGGATCACAGGTCTGCCCAGCTCCGCTTGGATCCCTCGTCGTCTTGCCAGGCGGGCCGTAGCCTCGCGAGGCGGTCAAGGAACAGTTGTGCACAATGTTCAAACCGAGCTGCATTTTTGTCTGGAGCTGTGTCAGGCGGCTATGCCTGCGTTGCAAAGTGCATGCTGCGTGTGTGTTGCAGCGTTTGAGGGTGGGACTGACATTGCGGACACAAGGGTTCGCCGTTACGACGACAGGCGAAATTCCATCCGTACCCCAACCTACCAAGATCGATTTCTCCGTAGGGTGCAATATAAGCTACTTATAAACTGTGAAGTAGGCAAAAAATAGGGTGAAGAACAACACCCAGAGAGGTAGGTTCCGGCAGCTTAAGGTGAACCCAACCTTGCTTCAGAAGCATTCACGGCCTGTGTGGAAGACATTGTAGTCCGTGATCTGCAGCAGAGGCCTCTGGAACAAAACCCACCAGGGAATGAGGGTGTGGCGCACAAGGTTCGGGAATTGATACGGGCTCACACTCTAAAACCCTGAGCCCTACACCCTCAAAGCATCTCTAACATCCCACCTCCCGTTCATCTTGTGCTTCAGCGTCTGGTAGCAGGCGTCCACGCAGTTCATGTAGGCATCGATACTGTACCTCAGCATCTTGTGGCCTACAGGGTTTCTGGGTGTCCTAATGTAGGGGCCTTCATAATCATAATAGAGTTTTGGGGTATATTCTACACTCACTTATAATAAGGAACCCCAAAATAGTATAGGCAATAATTATTAAGGCCCCTATGTCAGACGGCTTCCTTTGCGCGTTAGGGCTTGAGTGTCGGATTCAGGGCTACGGCTTTCGGGCTCCTGCTCTCCGCGCAGTGCTCAAAAAAGCTGCAGGGGTGGTCTACTAAGAGTCCTCAAACACAGTCAACACCCTAAACCCGAAACCCTACACCCCGAACCCTAAACCCTAAACCCTAAACCCCTAAACCCCTAAACCCCTAAACCCTAAACCCTAAACCCTACACCCCGAACCCCCAAACCCTCAACCCCTGGACTCCATTCCGCCCCTGACAGGGCGTTGAGGTGCTTGGGCTGCTTTCGGCGCTAAGGCCTTATCTAAGGGCTCCTCAGAGGGTTGCGTTAGGGCTCCTTTAAAAGTTAGGGTTTAGGGCTTAAGGGTTAAGGGTTTGTTTAAGGGTTCCTTGAAAGATTTTCCGAAAAGGTTTCCTTCACGGTTGACTTCCTGTTTAAAGGTTTCAACCCTACACCCCAAACACTAAACCCTGAACCGGAAACCCTGAAACCTGAAACCTAAACCCTATCTATATAAACTTATAAACCTTAAACCCTGAACCCTAAACCCTAAACCCCAAATCCCAAATCAGTGAAGGGTTCCTTAATCCTAAACCCTATATAAACTGACAGACCTTCAACTCGAACCCTAAAACCTACACCCCGAACCCTAAACCCTAAACCCTAAACCCTAAACCCTAAACCCTAAACCCTAAACCCTAAACCCTAAACCCTACCAAAACCCACGTTTTTTTTGTGAGGTGCCTAGAAATTCCATATTCGGGTTCAGAATAAGAACCTACCAAAAATAGTAGGTTATGGTAGTTTAAGGTATAGTTAAAAGCTATAATAAGGAACCCTGAGGATAATGTTGGTGATTATTTAGGCGTCTACAGTTTTTGGGGCTGAGAAGCTTCACGCGATGAGGGCTTGTCGGGTTGAGGGCTTGGGATTTAGGGTTTCGGGTGTAGGATTTAGGGTTTCGGTTTTCAAGTTTCGGATTTAGGGCTTAGGTTCCGGATTTCAAGTTTCGGATTTAGGGTTTCGGATTCACGGTTTCGGATTTGGGGCTTCGGCCCAGGATTTCGGCAGGCCTGCTTGGTGAGTGCTGATACGAATGGCGGTGATGATATTCCCGACGTCCAGGAAAGCCTTTTCAAGCTCGAGGCTTTCCGAACTTTCTGGGAAAGCCTTCATGATGGCAATGCCAAGAACGGCACCAAAAAGGAGGCTTGCGTTTCGGGTAGGGCTACGCTTCGGGTGTATGGTAGAGCGGTTCAAAGGTGAACCAACAAGGACGAAATGGGAGAAACACCATGCTGAGAACTGCATCGACCAAAACCTGAAGCGATTACTCGCACAGGCGGAACAAGAACAGTCACGAACATACACCCCAGCCTGAACCCTATGAAGCTATAGCCACTGTGCCTTATGAAAAACCTGAGTTTACGGCTGATGGGTGCCCAAAATCCAACACGGTAGTCATGAAGCCTAAACCCAAAACCTCAAACCCCTAAACCCCTAAACCCTAAACTCGAGACCCCGAAGCTCTAAACACTGAGCCCGTGACTTGCCATCTACCACGGGTCCCATGTGGAACCAGCCCACTGGCTTGAAAAAGTCGAACCTTGGGTGGCTGAAGGACTTCGGCCGCTAGTCCAGCCTTGGGGTTGTGGGCTTAGGGTTTAGGGTTTAGCGTTTAGCGTTTAGGGTTTAGGGTTTAGGGTTTAAACGATTTGAGCATTCAGGCTTCCGGGATTTCTGGTCACTAGATGCATCTGCTGGTGTAGTGATTTCTGGCATCGAGCTACGATTTTCGCTACACACAACCAAAGCCTTGTTGCCGCCCTCTGCAACCCTGCAGATAACCCCGAAACCCCGAAACCGTTAACCCCTAAACGCCTCAAACCCCCTAAATCCCTAAATCCCTAAATCCCTAGATCCCTAAACCCCTAAACCCCTAAATCCCTAAACCCTAAATGCCTAAATCCCTACACCCCTAAATCCCTAAACCCCTAAATCCCTTAACCCCTAAATCCCTAAACCCCTACATCCCTACATCCCTACACCCCTAAATCCCTACACCCCTACATCCCTACATCCCTAACCCCTAAATCCATAAATCCCTAAATCCCTAAATCCCTACATCCCTAAACCCCTAAATCCCTAACCCGTAAATCCCTAAATCCCTAAATCCCTACACCCCTAAACCCTAAACCCCTACATCCCTACATCCCTACACCCCTAAATCCCTAAACCCCTAAATCCCTAAATCCCTAAACCCAAGGACCCGGCCGATGGAGGATGCAGGAGGCGCGATGCGAGTGGTGCGGGAGCGGCGCATCCTCAGGCGCACGGTTTAGGGTTTAGGGTTTAGGGTTTAGGGTTTGGGGTTTAGGGTTTAGGGTTTAGGGTTTAGGGTTTACGGTTTAGGATTTAGGGTTTAGGGTTCAGGCGCAGGTGATTGTGCTTGGAGGGTCGGGGGACAGAGTAAATGGTTATTTTACAGACTTACAAGTACTATAACTCCAATTAGGGTCCTCTTAGGGTACTTACAAGTCTACCTATTACCTACTTACTAAGTCTCCCGACCCTCCAAGTGTTGATGATATCAATCCTACAGTACCTTAGGGACCCTAAACTATGAGAATTATGGCATAATCGGCATATTCCTTATTATGAGCAAGGCAGGATGGACCCTAAACTATGAGAGTTATGGCATGTTCCTTATTGTGAACAAGGCAGGATGGACCCTAAACTATGAGAAGTATGGCATGTTCCTTATTATGAGCAAGGCAGGATTTATACCATCCACCGTTGCTGTTGGCTTCCT